CAAATTCCTAGAAACATAGCTGTAGAGCTGCCGAAGAATTCATTCACTTCCTTCTCGACTCGTTTGGTTCCAAATCTGTCGATGAAAACAATATGCTCTTAAGAGATGATATTATTACTTTCGCTTTATGCTTCTACGACATTTTAATACATCGCACGCTTCGCTGGCTTACTTAGATTCAGGAAAACAACATCAGCATCACCAAAAAAAAAAAAAAATTACAATAACTGAGTACAAGTAATTATAAATAACGTCCCAAATGGAAGGTCAGCTAAATTCATCAATAGCTACAGAAACAGCAACAGCAACAGCAACAGCAACAGCAACAAAAAAATTATATCATAGTAAGACTAGACACAAAAGCCTTAGAAATTGCTGAGTAAACTAACCTTGATTCGTTAAAATTTTAGTTTCTACTAAACACGGCGAGGATGAACTCCATCGATTGAAGCGTTGTATTTCACAACCATCTCCTCTCAATAGCTCGGCTCATGTTAAAGAACTGTTTAGAGATATAATCTCCGCCAATTTAAAGATGTGTCAGTACCAAGGGCAATTAAATGTTTGCCCACGAGGCCGGCCGGGACCTCCAGGGAGAGCTGGACCCAAAGGTGATAAAGGAACAAAAGGCTCTCGAGGAATTGTAGGACCTCCCGGTCGGAGTGGAAAACAGGGAAAGATGGGACCATCTGGAGTAAGAGGAGAGAAGGGAATTAAAGGCGACATCGGGCCACCCGGTATCCCTGGTATCCCAGGGATTAAAGGTCAACAAGGAGAGTCTATTTCTGTTCCAAAGGTGACAATTTCTCCACCAAAACTAATTGTCAACGAAACCAACACAGCCTCGCTTCTATGCTCTGTTTCTGGAAATCTTGCAGCTCAAATATCTTGGTCAAAAGCTAATGGATCGTTGCCTAGCGACCGCACCAAAGTGACGTCAGATGGGCTGATACAGATCACTGGCGTTGGCTTGGAAGATGCAGGCGAATACAAATGCGAGGCGCGAAATATTCTGGGAAAGGATGAAAAAGCTGCAACACTTGTTGTTCAAAGTAGGCTGTGATCTTTTTTTTTTTACATTTCTATCTTGTTTGTTTGCTGTATGATAATTACACATAAAAGCATATCGCCACATTCGTTTAAATCATTTTAATCCATCATGTTTATAAAGCAGCCGAGCAGGTTGCAATAGTTGAATAGTAGTGATAATCATACGGTTTTTTTTGCAGGTCATCCTAAGGTTTCACTTTCTTCGGGTCCAACCTACGTTGAAATGGGAAAAGATATCACTCTACCAAAATGCCACGTAACAAGCTTCCCACCAGCAGTAATCACGTGGTCTAAATTTAACGGTGGCTTAATGAAATCCAGGACTGTTGCGAAAGATGGACAACTAACCATATTACAAGCTAAAATGGCAGACTTTGGTTTGTACGAATGTCCAGCGTCAAATAAG